TCGCAGGACTTGGTACTTTGGGTTACATCTTCTATGTCTGCTGGTGGTCCTGGCCCTACCTGTCAAGTCGAAACGCCGGCAGGCCAAAGAGCAGCAGGACGACCTCCAGAAGGACAACCAGACAGATCACAACAGCACAGACAACAACTGCAACCAGAAAGAAAAGACCACATGAGGGTCGGGACGGTGACGCGCCGCCCCTTCAGCAGCAGAAACACTGAGACGAACTATAAACTACTGAAACCTGGAGTGTGTTGAGTCTGTTTACCTGACAAAGAACCAAATATCTCCTATCAGACAGAAAACACAAGTCTACATCCTGGCAAAAACTTCCAGTAGCAAGGCTGACAGCAATCACACTTCTGACATGGATACAAGACCAAGGTGAAGAAATGGCCAAGGTGTAAACTAATGAGCGGTAGTGGTTACTTTACAATACATTAGTGAAAACGAACACCTCCAAGCTGCCTTAAACCCTCTGTGTACTTTAAAGGTGAAATAACAGTTTGAATGGCACGCTGCAGGAACCTAAATGCAGTTACACCAGTGTGGTTTCATGTAAGGTAAACAGATTTAAAGCGCAGTATGTGGAGGGTTTTTGTCATTGTCTGGGTACAAGCCTCTGTTAGGTGGCAACAGAAAACCGTGTACATGTAAAAGAAACATAACCTTTATCATCAGCTGCCAATTTCAAACAGGCCTTAGGATCCTCAACATATTGTTTGATTTCTATGTCTTTTTTTTTTTTAATCTCTATTCCAGAAGAATTCACATCGTGTGTGTTTTGTACTTAGATGTTTGTGACGACACTAATTGAAATCCATTCTGAATGCTCTTTTGTTTTTTGTGGGATGACTTGACTATGCCTGAAAGAGAGAATCTCAAAGTGGAATTCAGATCTCATTCCTCTCCAGTCTAAAAGATTTAATAACTGGATATCTTTTTATATTTTTCATATCTGCTGCTTTTTTTTTTTTTTGTTGGGCAAAGAAGACTCATCTGATAAATGTGTGTTTCAAAGGGAGTTTGTTTACCCTATGGTAACTTAGAATACCTTTTAAGGCTTGTTGACTTGGGGTTCAGAATTTTTATTTTTTTTTTAATTTCTGCTGATATTTGTCTCATGACAGGTTTCCTCTGTGTTCAGTTGTTAAAACAAGTCTCCAAAATGATTTTAATTAACAGAATTCCTACAGAATTTACATCCTTCTTGAGTTATTTGTGCAGTAATTGTCTTAAGTCCTACAAACGCAACAGAAATCTAATCAGATCACCGCACTGACTTAGAAATAAAGTGTCAAATGGTCCATGCACAGTGCATAAAAGCACATAAAGAAACCAGTTACAGTTATATATGTACGTGACTTTATAGTATTGTACAAATTTCAAACACATAAGCCAGCTGTTGTGGTAAATGGTCTTATTTCATATTGTGTGCACTTAATGTTAGCCTAGGGGATGTTTCAGCATTTGCTGTATGGTGTTCCTGTTTCCTCATGTTGTTTTGGTCCATGGCTCGCCTTATTAGCCTTCTAGAGTCCCCCAGTTGGACCTTATAACAGCGACTGCTGTGATATTTTTCTGAAATCATTAGATCGGATTAATGAATGATGTAGTTAATGAAAACATGGTGCAGAGAGGACCTTTTACAAGGCGCCTCGCTGTTCTTTGAATAATAGTGACACATAAATGTACCTGTAAGAGCAAGATATAATCTTGGGATTTCAAAGCCCACAACATCACTTTGAAATTATGCTTCCTTTTTTTTTCTTTTTCCAAAAATCATTCTCAATAATTTAAGTTAAACTGATGCATTCGTTTCCTGTAAAGTAGTAACAAAGCAGCAGAGATGAGTTGGGGATTTTTCTTTCTTTTTTTTTTTGGTTTTTAAGACTAAGATAACACTCGCATTTTCCTGCCATAACTTTGTGTGTGTGTACCAGTATTCATGTGACCCGTTGATGTTGATGTGAACTCGACTTCACTATATTTGTAGCCTGGGCCCTGTGTAGGCGAGAGCGGCCCACCCAAGGGGAAAGGGATGTCATTGTTCAAAAACATAGCGATTATTGCACTGCATGGCCACCCAAACCAGCAGATCAATGCAAACTGCTCCATATGTCCAAAGTGCCAAATCATAAATGGCGCATTTTGGTTTTTTTTTCTTTTGTGTATAAGTGGGCCTGCGTGTGTGCGTGTGCGTGCCTGTGGAACATATTGGTTATTTTTGTGTCAGAAGGAAATTTATTGAAAGATTTGTATAACAGTACATTACAATTCTGATTTATGTGGGGGAATAAAGAGAACTTATTTTTAAACACTAACACTGCCATTATGTCATAAATGATTTGTTTTTGTCCTGTTAAAAAAAAAAGAAGTAATTTGTTTTTAAATGAATGCAAACACTAGTACAAAAGGGCTTTCGCTGCATATATCACATGTGCATATAACATTAACCTCCTAGGACCTGCCGTCCACATACATCATGGGTTATTTAGACCAAAATACACAATTTTGCTCTACAAGGGTCTAATATCCACTTACGAGAACATTATACTGCTACTGTTCTATCAAAATTAGTTTTTTCTTAAAAACAAAAATAAGGTAAAAAAAATTCTTTGTTTTTACATTCATTGGGCCCCAATGTGACCAAATATCAAAGAGAAATTAAAAAAGCATGTCGTGGAAGAGTTCAGGTCTTAGGAGGTTAAGATTCTTGCATGTTAAAGAGAAACACGAGTAGAATCATTAAAATATATTTATCAATTGGGTTTTTATCTTTTATTGATTTTTGTCTCTCTTTTTTTTTTTTTTTTAAACAATACTTGACTTGTGTGGATATATCCTTCATCCTCCCGAAGTCAAAAAAAAAAATGGGGCAAACAAAAGGACTTGGCCTTATTTTCTGCTTTGTAGTGTAACAAAATTGCCATCATCATTAGATTATCCATCTACTGCTCCATGCACATCATAATGGGAATTGAGTACAAATTGGGGGGAGTATCCAGATGCTTTACTCAGGTTCAGCATTTATATTATACTTTAATAGGCGACCAAAGAAAAAGCTAAATATTTTGCTTTATATCAACAGAATTGCCTAAAAGCAACGCACAGCATGTAAGCTTTGTGCTTAAAGCTTATTTTAACTACTTGTTGAATTCAGAAAAATATTTTGTTGTGTTTTTAAACTCAGAACCTATAAAGTTACTGTTAAAACTGTAAAATTAATGTCGTACAGTAAAAACAAATCCCACCTCCCCGCTTTTTCCCCCCTGTTAGTTTTCTTGCCACATGTTACCCTGCTGTACTCTTGGGTGCGAGGAGGTGGAGTCTTACTGTAGCAGGTCGAGGCTCCTCTGTCAAATAGAAGCAAAGATATTATGGCTTAAAAAACGAAGACCTTGTGACTGGATTATCTGGACCGGAATTAAAATACAGAGCAACCCAGCGTAGGTAAGACTACTTTAAAAAATTGTTGGTGTACTTTTCTCCAGCTTTTTAGAGGAGATAAAAATAAATAAATAAAAATGTAGGGACCTGTTGGAAAGCTAACGCTAGCCTGTTAGCCCGTTTCCAGGTTTGGCTAGCTTGTGTTTTCAAGTTGCTTCCTAGTGATAGTGAACGGGAAGTCGCTGCTGTGTTTGCAATATCGTGTTTGCAAAAGACCTTTGTCAAGACACCGGAATAACCGAGCCACACTAGTTCTAAACTTTTCTTCGCCTCGTCTCATTTAAAGCCATGTGATTATATGCGCGTCATACAGATGTTCTTTTTTTAAGAGTCATGGGGGTCAGAGCAGTGAACGCACCATAGACTTGGTGACTTTATATTATACACCGTATCAACATCGTTTAAATGGCACGATGTTGATACGGTGTTTTGCCTGTCAGTTTGTTGTGTCCATGAACTTTGTGCACGTTGCAAAGCCCACAGCCAAGCAGTTTAAGACTCTGTGTGTATCAAAAACATGAGACAGTTTTTGCTTATCCATATGACATTAGCAGACCCTGGTATGCATAAGGGAACTGAATCCTCAGCAGTTTCATACCCACATGACTGGTCATAAAAAGCTGACAGGTTAAATTTAGAGACCCTATCCAGTGTTGCTTAGTTCCCTTCTAACATTTGAATGCGTTCAGATAACCAAACAGCTGACGTGGAGTTTTATTTGATGGTTTGTGATGTTAGCTAGTGCTCTGTGTTTTTACATAAACACTATAAATGTCATGTTTATGTCAGTTTTCCAGCTGGAAACAAAGAGAATTGGGTTGCAAGTAACAAGTGTTTTCATTACTGATTTAGAATTTATTATTTTCTTGGTCGATTTGACTTTTGGACATTAAAATGCCAGAAAACCGAACTTCTAAAGCCAGTTTCTTGTTTTGTCAGGGCGGCAACACAATTTATTTGATAAATTGTCACATTTAAGAATGGGTTAGAAAATAACTTGCAGTGATCGACTGATTTATTTGGTAATCCTTTGTTTTTCTTTATTTTTGTATCCAGAATCCTGTGTGTAGATCATTTTTATAGCACTAATTCACTTTCACAAGAACTGTGTTCATTTTCATTAATAACAGTAAATTGTTTGGTTTTCTACTATATTGTTGGGTGATTCAAAGGGTTAGTTTAATATTTAATTTTAATTGATCAGCACCTGAGTCATTGTAAACACTGTGATTATAGTGATACTAAAGTGACAGCTCCCATGCTACTTTATTGCATTATCTGTAAAATTAAGTCATACAGATGAGTCCAAACATCCTAATTGGCCTTTTATCTTTATCAGTCGGTGCCAAGCCATTGCATGTAATGAATGAATATCTGGTCGTGTGCCTCTATTGTGTTGGGTGAGGATGGGCGTAGGCCAGCCCCCTCATCTAATATTCAGCTGTTTGTAAAAAGGGGGGGATGCTGAGCCTGAGCCTGGCAGTGCTTGTTGAAACTGTGTGCAGCTGAGCAGAGAACCACTGCCAGTTTTACCCTTCACGAAGGTAAGAGTTTCTTTTGTAGTAATGTTTTCTGGAGATTGTAGGTCTTATTTTCCCTTCTTTCTCCAGCAGCTTATTTTTGATGTTTTTTCTTTCTTTCTTTTTTACTGGTTTATTGTCTCTGAGCTTTAGTGTGCATGTGTTTTGTGAAAAAGATGCGACTGAGCTCCACTCTGATCACTGCTGAACAGGGAGAGAGCGCTTAATGTTTACTGATTGGTTCTTGGGTGTATTTGTCCACCCATTATGCTGAGAGGCAAGAAGCTGGGGAGGGTGTGTCAACAGGCTCCAATTGCTTTGACTGTAAACAAAGGATTTTTTTCTCACCTCTTCCTGGCACTGTCTAATATGGGCAAATGGTTACCAGGCGATCCCTGACTGAAAATATAAAGAATTCAGAAAAAAAAGGTTAAATATTTGCATTGATTGGTTACTCTGCATTTGAGTAAACTGCCAGGCCTTTGTACTGACAGCCCAAGAGGCATGTGACATTTGAGTGTTTATTGACCTGAGCTTGAGCTGCTTGTCTGAAGGATTATGGTGAAATATTGAGCCGTATATAAAGCCCATTGCCAGGGCAACTTACAAGCAATGAATGGAGCTGATTAATTCTTTGTTACTGTGGCAGGAAGTAGGTCTGACCATTAGGAAAGAGCCCAACTTGATGAATGATTAATGAGTGCTTTTATCGATTGGCTGAATCCCTAATTCCTGTAAAAACCCCTTTCAAAAGAAAACATATTTTAGGGGCTTTTTCTTGTCCAGATGTATTATACAATACATTTCTGGGAGTTTTGTGCAATTTTATCTTAAACTGGGAATATCCTTTCTAAATATAGAGTAAGTCAATACCCAGTAGTTAAAGTGTCAAAGAAAAAAACAAACCTTGGCCGTCCAGTTAAGGTAAAAAGGCTTAAAATGACTCAGTAAATTTAGAAACATGCTTGTCTCTGGGTTTAGGATAATTCTTGAGAATGGTTCACTCCAATTATAGATAATCTCGCTCCAGTGGGTTATGTGCATTGATTTGTCATATAGTCACTGCGTCTTACTGCTTTTTTCCTATCGGTGCTAAAGTACTTTTAGGGAGAACTCTGCTTTTTTCTTGTGTACAAAAGTTCCGCAATGTCCAATTTCAGGAAGTGGAGGAGGGTAGAAAAGGCTGGCTCTGATATAATTGGAGCAAACAGTCGAGTGCACCGATTGTCCTAGCCCTTATTACATCAGAGAGTCAAAGTTTAAAGGCTATTGTTTGTCTTCATTGGTATTTGATGGCTTGGTTAACTATCTTGAGCAGAGCTTTGTGATTGCTCAGCCTTCATTATACTGAGTGGACAAATTTCAGTCAGTGTTTTCAGCCTCAGCAGACAGACTGAACGAAACTGAAGAGAACTAACAGCCCCTGCTCATCCCTGTGTAATAAGCTTGTTTAATAGAATTGTAAGTATGGTTATAATGATACTTTAACATGATATTAAAAGATTTGTAATGACCTCTGAAATGCACGCATATAGTTGCATTAGAGTGGATATTGCAACATGTCGAACACACACTTTTTATATGTGTGTTTCTTAAATATTATACTTTAATGTGTACACCATCTAGTTTCTGCTGTATTGTTATTGTTTGTATGGGAGAGCTTATGCATGCAAGTTGGGGTTTGGACAGTGGTGATTTATTCCACTGCATCACTTCAAAGGCACACCACACCGCTTCCCGGTCACGATTTTAACTTCTTGTTTGTCTCTTAGAAGTGCTTTATATTTAGCTGCACAGGCCACAAAGCTATTGTTGTGCTCTTTAGCTCATTGTGAATGCTGCTTTTGCTCTCATTCTGCAGGGGTGTATAGCTGGTTAGCTGTCAACCATGGATACCAGCACGTCCCTAAAGATGACCTCTCTGGCTGTCCAGAGTCTGTTCAGCTATGTGGACGAGGAGAACCTGGCTGCCATCAAAGCGCATTTGGACATGTTCACGGATGTGGACAGCAGGAGTGATGTAAGCCACATCACAGCAGCCTTAATGTTGGCTCTAGAAGTTCAGGGAAGAATAAGCAGTAATTAAAGGCTCTTTAAAATAACTTTAGTTGGTGTTATGTAGGAAAACTGAAATCCTTCTGTGTGGAGTTTGTGTCCTCTTCCTGTTCAAAAACATACTTGTTAGGTTAATTGGTGATTCTTGGCTTTAGGTGAGAATATGAATGGTTGTTTGTGCTTGCCTTATGAAGGACTGGTGACCTCTCCAGGCTGTTTCCTATCTCTCACCCAAAATCAGCTTGGATTGGCTCCAGCTAGTAGCTAAGAAAATGAATGGATGGATGAAGATATAGTACTCATAAAACATTATTATGTTATTATCTTTTGCGTTCTTAATTATTTTAGATAACATTTTAGATATCTCTTGTCGCTGCAATTAAAAGGTCAGCTACTGTTTTACAACAGTAAAGAAATTGTTTATTATGTGCACTTAGTACTCATAGGACGTTATTGCAGTATACCCTGAAAGACACAGAGGGATAGAGCTTAGAAGGGAATATAAACATCCGAGGCCATTAAAAGGTAATGCAGTATCTCCACACTATGTGTACTGTACACTGTACGATTGTAGCAGCTGTAAGTAGCCTGATTCCTGTATTTGCAACATATGCAATCTTAAAGGATAATGCCAGTGAGATGATATTTTGTCAAGAAATCCTACAAAAAGACCAGAACTCCAAAACTGAACCGATCCTACTACTAATAAGTATTTTCATGTAGCCAAAATCTGATTGTTGCACATTGCTGTTTGTTTCCATGTTTGTCTATATAGGTGCTGTAGTTTATGCACAGTGCTTGTATAGACACCCTCTTGCTGTTGCTGTAATTACCACAAAGTGTTAAATTTCCTGCAAATGAGTCCCGAGTTACATTTAGGAGCATTTACCAAAAAAATAGAGCACATAGCAGGTTGTTAAAAGATTAAAGAAATAAAATTGTGCGGCGACAGACAGTCTGGTACCCGAGTAGAGCAGATTTTGTAATTTTAGGCTTTATATGAATTTGTTGACAAAGAAAAATTGAGACAATTCCAGACCTCTCCCTTAATGTGGAAAATATCAAGCAGCGTGTAGACTTGTATGGGACAGTAATCAGTTATGTTACTGTACATGAAGTCATAAAATCGTTGGACCTATCTGTCATTTTGTTCCAGTGACGTCTTATTTCATTTGTATTGGATAATCAACCACCTGTACTCCGCGTCTCCTTGTTTCAGAATGGACAGACTCCCCTCATGGTGGCAGCAGAGCAGGGCAGTCTGGAAATAGTGCAGGAGCTCATTAAGAGAGGAGCCAACGTTAACTTGGACGATATTGTAAGTTTTCAAATGCACACGCACGTGTCATCTCTTAATAAAGAGCACAGCCCCAAACATGAGTAAACGCAATGTACGCAGAATGGAGGGACAGGTGAAAAACAGTGCGGTCATTTAAACCACATCATCCACTTGACAAAGAAGACATAACTAGTGGCCTTGATGTTCCATCTTGCTGAACTCACCACATTCGGGCTTAGCCCTCAGCTGTTATGATCCGTCATGAGCCATAATGACAGCTTATTACATACTTTTACCTTCGCTCATTTGAGTAAATGACAGGATCCACTCACTAGCCAACACCCTGCGACTTCAGATCCCAGCACACACTCACGCACGCATGCAGCCTCCTACTTCGACGCACGCATGCATTGCTCTCACACCACTTATTAACATCTCACGTAATGTAACCTATTATTACACATGGCGCACTCAAAGTCAAAGAAGAGAGAGGAAGTTTTCCATTTCGTAGTTCTGTCCGTGTCTCACACTCGCGCTCTGTGACACCTTTGTCTCTCGATGCGACACCGCGTTCCCATGAGCACCTGGTACGACCAGCTGGTAGGTGCGGTTTTCTTTTTTTTTTTTCTAACCATCCTCGAGCGTCCCATTTATTGCTCTGACAGATGCTCTGTCAACTGGATTTAGAGAATGGGAGTTCTCAAAGTAACAGGTAGTGTCTGTGTACAGGACTGCTGGACGGCGCTGATCTCGGCAGCTAAGGAGGGACACATCGAGGTGGTGAGGGACTTGCTGGAGAACAATGCTAACCTTGAGCACAGAGACATGGTGAGAATGTAGACGGTGTGAAATTTTTCCTCATTTAAAATATGTAAAGTTTGTGTTTACTATACTACAAATACAAAGGAGCAAAAATGAAATTTGGCTAGAAAACTGGGCTCCCAACATCTAGCTAGCCTTGTGGGTGAAACGTGATCCAACACCTGTTACGTATTGGCCAATAGCCTTTTGTTTTGCTTTAGCTCCTCACTAATTCCCCTTACTTTCAATCAGTGTTACCAAATAAAGTCTTAAATGTATTTGGGGTATATTGCTGAGCTGGAACAAGCTCCAAGCACAACCAAAATGACTTAATTTACGATAATATTAAAAAAAAAAAGGCTAGATAGCTTAACAACAGAAAAGAAAAAGACCTCAAATCAGTCTTATGAATTTACTGAAATGGTATATATTCCTTTTTATATTTATTAATGCTTTCTGTTTGATGTGACAGTTCCAGTGCTGGTTGAACAGAGTAATGCATTAGCTTGGAAATCGACCTAAAATTAAATTACTTTCTGTCTGATGGCTCCTTTCTAGTAGTAATCCCATTTACTGGGCTCTGGTTGTCTTTGCATGGGGCAGTGATATGATTTAGTTACTTCGTCAGAGGCAAAGACTCGACAGTAACCAAACTATAGAAGCTTTTTTCTGTATTAATAAGATTAAAAGCAATGCTTAGGAAATATGATCTACATGTTGTTCCTAACTGGGCTGAAATCCTGGGAGAAATGTTAAAAAACACAGTAAGGATAGTGAAAACTAACAGTCTTTATGTATCACCGTGTATCAAAGGATACATTTGCTTTCGCATTATGTACCAGACATGTACATTATAAATCCTTGGCCTCTGCAACTCCATGGCAATGAGTCAGGAGGTGGGCTGACTCATTGGCGTTCATGGTGTGTCTAAGCTGCGTAGGAGAGATCACAGTCAGTCATCACAGTGGGATCATAATAAACGACACTGTGTGATACTTCACTTACTGGGTCACGTCATCTTTAAATAGCACATTTTCCAACCACAAAATCTGTCTAGATCTGTACTAGCATGTAAGGTCAGTACTGTTGTTTGTCTTCCTCTTTATTATAATAAAATAAACTGAATATTACATGTGTTGTGTGTGTTGCTGTTTTCTGATCGTGTACACTTAAACTCCTCACTAGCTGAACTAGATTATCTGTGTTTTCTACTTAGGGAGGCTGGACTGCTCTCATGTGGGCAGCCTATAAAGGTCGTACAGATGTGGCCCAGCTGCTTTTGGAAAAAGGATCCAACCCTAACATCACTGGACAGGTATAAAAACTCAACACAGCATTGTTATTTGTATGTTATCTGTGTCTTCTGAAATCTTTGGGCATCTGTGATCTGATAATCTGAATAAAGACATTATTTGGTTTGTTTGTTATGATTTTAAACTCTGTGTAAATGCAGGGAAATAGAGAGAAATGTCTCATTTTAAATAAGTGGTAAAAGTCAGTAAATTTGAGAATTAAAGATAAAAAAGGGGTAAGCACCGCAGTGCTTTGCCTCTCCCCATCATCTGCTTTTACAGCTTGAAGCATTTGTATGACCGCGGGCTTAACACTGATCATTAGTTACTGTCAGCATGACTACACGGCTGTCCTCTGCCCCAACAGTACAGCGTCTACCCCATTATCTGGGCGGCAGGTCGAGGCCACGCAGAGATTGTCCGTCTCCTGCTGGAGCACGGAGCCAAGGTCAATTGCTCAGACAAGGTAACTACATACTGACAGATGCTCATTATTTACTTGCTTTAAATCCCACATAAGATGTGCTTTGTGGTTAGGGCTCGGTCTAAAAGAACATTCTTATTCCCCAAGTGCTTTTCCTCTGTCCTGGGGCTATATTCATTGCCCTTCCTTCATGATTAATCAATCTCTAGGTTGTTGATTGAATCATCTCTTGCACTCTGTCATTTTTTATTTGTAGTATGGCACCACTCCTTTGATCTGGGCAGCCCGGAAGGGCCACTATGACTGTGTGATGCACCTCTTGGCCAATGGAGCTGATGTAGACCAGGAAGGAGCAGTAAGTAGACTGTCAGTAGCATTCAGCAGTGATGCTAATCGTTTCATATAAAAATGGACACACTGTGTCAAAGGGAGTGTTTTCCTTTCTGTGTAAATTATTTTGATTCTGAGTCAAGCTGTACATTAGGCAGCACCTCAGCTGTAGTTCACATAACTATAAACAAGACAGTGCTGTCATTTATTTCAAGGACTACTCCACACAGATGTAAGTACTCAAGAACTTCATTTGGCATTAGTTGTGATGATGCCACTAAAGGTTTCGGCAAAGTCACTTTTATTATTAATAAAAATAGTGTTCTTAATTATTTTGTGTCTGGAATGTTTGAGTAGCAACATTATTTATTTTATTTCCACACGAACAAAACACAATCTTAACCCCCCCCCCCAATGATTTCTGCAATGTAGTGCATCTGTGCTGCTTCAAGTCATGTTGCATCTATGCTAATACAAAGTGAATGATGTGCTTTTTTTACGTGCTGCATCAGTAATCGGATGGAACTGTCATAGCTAATGTTACAGAGCAGTTTAAAAGGCAGTGACTAAGAGACTGTGGAGTTTGCAAAACCCGAGTTATTAGGCTCTTTAAGCTAGATTGTTCATTGACAGAAGGGTGTATTGTCTCTTAAAGCTCCTGAAATAAACAGGCATGCGGGAAAGGATGATCTTTACCGATAACTGCACATTTTTTGTTTGATAATAGGAATGAATAGCAAAAAGGGGTTCGAATGATGTCTAAATATGCCTCTTTCCTTGGCTTCACAGAACTCAATGACGGCTCTAATCGTAGCCGTGAAAGGCGGCTACACAGAGGTCGTCAAAGAGCTGCTGAAGAGGAACCCAAACGTTAACAAGACAGACAAAGACCACAACACAGCCCTTACCATCGCTGCCAAGGAGGGACACACAGAAATTGTGCAGGACCTGCTTGACGCCGGAACCTACGTCAATGTTCCAGACAGGGTGAGATGTTTGACAGTAGCAGCAGCAGTGGCTGATATGAAATACAATGGAAATAAAATACAACTCACTTTTCTCTGTTTGGTTTTCTCTGGTTTCTCTCTTGCAGAGTGGGGAAACAATGCTGATAGGAGCAGTTAGAGGAGGTCATGTGGAGATAGTGCGAGCTCTGTTGAACAAATATGCTGATATTGACGCCAGGGGCCAGGTAGAAGCTCCTCTCCTTCTGCCCTCTCATGTGCTCGGTGTAAAATGTCACCCTACTGATCAGTACTGTTTACTTATCCCTGTTGTTTCTCAGTAAAGTGAACTTTTCCCCATGGGTTAGAATTACAGATATTTCTTGTTGTTGTTGCATAGACCTACCTTAATGTGCATAAAAATATGCACAGTACAGCATAATATGCTGCATTCCCAGCTATGCATATTAAACCATATATATTTTATTTTATTTGGGGTTTTGTTAATGCAATTTGTTGTTGTTAGTACAAAAAAAAGCTTTTATTTTTCATCAGGATGGAAAGACTGCCCTCTACTGGGCAGTGGAGAAAGGTAATGCTACCATGGTGAGAGACATTCTGCAGTGCAACCCTGACACCGAGAGCGCCACCAAGGTATCTTTCTTGACCTTTGAACTTCTTTAATTTGATTTCTTGATTATGTTGCAATTTAAAACCTCCAGAAAATCAAATTTTAAAACATGGTATTGGTATTTATATATAATTGTATTTATTTATTTATTTTTAAATGTGTGGTGTTGATTCATTGTTCTTTTTTATTTTGGCCATTATTCAGAGACAACAACAGCAAATATGTTTCCACACAAGGTTCAGAGAGGACAAATTATTATCTGGAAGGCTGTAACCTTCACTTTTACAGAGCGTTTTCTAAATAGCAACACTTTTATAACTGGATTTCACTAAACAAATGGTGAGGATAACAATAAATAAAAATAAACCTTAGATTTATACAATACTGTGCAAAAGTCACCGTGATATCTTTATATTTTGCTTCCAGAGGAATTCTTTCATTTTGAAAAACCTTTAGAAAGCCTGGAAAACATTTTTAAGAGTCTGTCTTTGTACACTGGCTGCTTTCTCACTCATTTTTAGTCCAGTCATTGTACCACAGCATTTTCAGAGGCATTGTTTTTGTTTAAGCCACTGATCTATGAGTCATTCAAGAAACCGGTCAAAAAAAGACACCTAAGTCAAGGATGAACCGGTGTTGTGTCTACACATAACACATTGTCTACACAGTGTTATGTCTACACATGAGGCAGTTTAGCAAAGACCCAATTTTAAATTGTATCTTCAGGCATTTTCTTACAATAAGCCTACTGCAAAAAACAAACTACTTGTTCTGTTTTTTATTTTAGTTTTATCTGTATAAAATCTCAACAATAACACAGTTTACACAAACATAAAATTGTAGGTGATTCCAGAGAGCTGAAAAACTTAGCATATCTCAGGTGTGCAAAATAAAAATAAGTAAATAAATAAACAAAGAAACTGAACAAGTGGAGCATGAGGTGTACAGTAAAGTAATCTCCTAACAAATGGGAACAAATCCAGCAAGGAACAGAGAAATGCATTTGGCCTGCCCAGAGCCCGAACCTCAACATTGTTAAAGCAGTGTGGGATCATCTTAACAGAGAACAAAATAACAAGGCAGCCAACATCCAAAGAAGAGCTTTAAATGACCTTTAAGACGCCTGGAGAGCTACAGCTGAATACTACCTAAAGAAATTATTATTATTATTATTTTTTTCCTTTTTTATTTTTTTTTAATAATAAAATAAAAAAATAAATAAAATAAAATAAAATAAATAAATAAATAAATAAATAAATAGAAAAAAAAAAAACACCAATCCAAACAAACAAAAATACTACGCTCTAACAGTAACAGAAAGAAATTAAAGAAATTAAAAGTAAGCTTACACAAGAGAGTTCAGGCTGTTTTGAAGAATAATGGTGGTCACACCAAATATTTTATGCTTGTTAGAATTACGCAAACTCTTCTATACTTTATATACTCTGTATCCATATATGTTTGGACATGACTCGAGAAATCGCTACACCTATTTCAGACTGTCCAAGCAAATATTAAGAAATGAGGGGTTTCTCAAGACTGTATAATACTTTATTTCACAACTTTACCCCTCAATCTTTTTATATGTGGCCTGACCTTTGCTCTGAGTTCATGCTGCATCTCTCTGATAACAAATAACCTCAGGCATAGATTATTTTGTGCTTTGTACATTATTAGTCCCGTATTGATTTAGCCAAGCTGTGAAATTTAACAGTGTGTAATGTAATAAATAGTCTGCTGCATATGAAGGTGATGTGGTTCTGAAGTTCTGAAGGGAAATCATTGTAAAGTTAATTGAGTGATTGTGTTTGTTTGGGTTTTAGGAGGGAGAGACGCCGCTTATCAAAGCAACGAAAATGAGGAGCATAGAGATCGTGGAACTGCTACTGGATAAAGGAGCCAAGGTGTCTGCAGTGGACAAGGTACTGTTTAAAGCACGCTTGGTCTTGCTTCTGTTTTTAGATTGTCATTAACTGAGCTCTGTGTTTTCTTCTCTCAGAAAGGAGACACGCCTCTCCACATCGCCATTCGAGGGCGTAGCCGAAAGTTGGCCGAGCTGCTGCTGAGGAACCCGAAAGATGGCCGCCTGTTGTACCGTCCCAACAAAGCTGGAGAAACACCGTACAACATCGATTGCACCCACCAGAAAAGCATCCTGACGCAGATATTTGGAGCGAGTACGACGCATTTCACATTGCAAACTAAAAAAGGAGAATTTAAGTTCAGAATTTGAGAAAAGAAGCTGTTTATTTTCTCTGAATATTTTTTCCCCTAACTTTCTCTCAGAGCACCTGTCCCCCACTGAGTCTGATGGAGACATGTTGGGTTATGACCTGTATAGCAGCGCTTTAGCAGACATCCTTAGTGAGCCCACGATGCAGCCGCCTATCTGCGTTGGCCTGTATGCTCAGTGGGGCAGTGGCAAGTCTTTCCTTCTTAAGAAACTGGAGGGTATGTATTCTCCTGGATGAGAATAAAGTGGTACTGAGATGTGGAAAGTACTTTTTATTGTTTTTTAAATTTCTTTTTTGTTTTCGCCTCTCCGTTCTTCTCTTGTTCAACAGATGAGATGAAGACATTTGCAGGCCAGCAGATAGAGCCATTGTTCCAGTTCTCATGGCTGGTAGTCTTCCTCACCCTGCTGCTCTGCGGCTCAGTGGCCGTCGTTCTGGGCTTTACTGTTAATCCCAAACTGGCGATCGCGGTCTCGCTCAGCCTCCTCGCCCTGCTCTACATCTTTTTCGGTGAGGAGACAGACCGGCTTGAATGCTGGGTACTGAATGATTGTGGGAAAACTCTCCTTTGATTTGAATCACTCTGCAGTGAGATGAGAATAAAAGGTCAGCCTGCTGTCCAAAGAGAATGTCAAGCAGAATTCTTTAACTGGAAAATATTTTGACCCCTGTTTCAGTGTGGCGTGTTTTTATGCTGTGCAAAAACATTTAATCTAAACTGTAAATCAAAGCCTTTTAATAATGAGTCGGTGACAGTGTTGTAATGAACCCCTTTTAAAAAAATTACCAGCTTAGCTACTATTAAATTTTAATTCCTTTTAGTGGACATTACGTGTAAACATTGCTACGCTAGGACTTCTAGCCAAACTTAATTTGCAGATCTTGTCCCTGGTTAGGCTTTTGGGGTCTTCTATTATCCTAATACAGAGACAATTACTAGTAGAAACATAGTCAAGCAACCACTGCAGACAGTATAGAAATATTGACTAAAGCAAAAAAAAAATAAAAAATAGGAACAATGAGTGAAAAATAACAATTAAGAACAAAATAAAGAGAAAAATGGATGCTTTAAAAATCCAGCTCAGTGCTTACAGATCAGCCTTTGTTTGAATCATAATTTACTAAAGCGTGAAGAAACGTCTTTCGGCTGTTTTCATATTCACAAGGGGGCGCCACAGCATGTATTTGATTTAGTATATTTCTATCCTGCATGCTGTTTGTGACCCTCCCAGAGTTTTAAGTCTCCTCCTGGTCTTGAAGCAGGGCTTTTTTGCATGCTTGGTGAATGCTTTAATGTGTCTTAAATTCGTAAAATCTTAACAAGAAGCACAACCAATCCTACTCCATCATCATCCTGGTTACGCCATACTTGACAGCATTTGAAAAATTTGTGCCTGTCACATTTTTTTACTTTTATTTTTGTCACTGAGGCTTGGTCCTGGTAAAAATCTTACTGAATTTCAGAAGCCAAACCTTTTGAGGTTTAAGAAAATAAAGTAATCACAGATATTGGTTAAATGGAGTAAGGTGGACAATGTTATTTTTTTCTTTGTTGACTGTGATATGTCTTTGCATTTAGTATTGGTGTACTTCGGAAGCCGGCGTGAGAGGGAAAGCTGGAACTGGGCATGGGTCATCAGCACCCGGCTCGCTCGTCATGTCGGTTACCTGGAGCTGCTGCTCAAACTGATGTTTGTCAACCCTCGTGAACTCCCTGAGCAGACCACCCGCGCCCTTCCTGTCAGGTGACAATGATGCACAGACACAGAACTACATCCACTCGATTTATTGTAGTCAACACATAAAATACACCTTCACAATTTTCTTGTTGTAAGTTGTAAAATGCAATGCATTCGTTAGCACAATCGACTAACTCTGTATATGTCTGCTGTACTGATGATATTAAACTAAATACTGATCTGCATTCTCTCGCTCTTTATGCAGGTTCTTGTTTACTGATTATAATCGCCTGTCTAGTGTTGGAGGAGAGACGTCAATGGCTGAAATGATTGCAACGCTGTCAGATGCCTGCGAGAGGGAGTTTGGCTTCTTAGCCACCCGGCTGTTTAGGGTTTTCAAGAGTGATGAGATCCAAGGTGATGTTACTGGCTTTTTTTATGAGTCATGTCAGGACTCGTAAAGAAAAAGTTTACTGAGACAATAAAGAATATTAAATTTACAAATAATACACTATATAACTAAATGCTGTTTTTTTTAAACGTGCTGCAGTTCAGCAAAGGATAAATAATATAAATTATGTATTTTCATTAATCAGAACCTATGTAAAATTATAATGATGGGAATTCTGTGAGAGTCTTATAAGCATTGTGGACTTTTCTTGGTGAACCACTGCACAAATTATGATGGTGAGTCAGTGTGGGCAAAAACTATGACGGAAATACAAATGAAAGAAAGCGCTCGAGAGACCAAGAGATACCTGTGTCGCAGTAAATAGACCTTTTAAGAAAGCTGTGCAAACAATCTCCCGACATCTGTCTCCCTCTTAGCTAGCTACATTTGGTTTGGTCATGCAGGAGTGGTTTTAACCTGCTTCAACAGCAAACAACAAATGATAAACAAAACAAACTTGCAAGTTAATGCTGAAAGTAAATGAATAGAAAGAAGGAGCAGGCTCCAGAGTAGATTCAGGACCAGAACTCCCAGTAAGCCCAGTATAAACACCGGTAGCTGCTGATGTAGCAGGAATTTTTTTAATTCATTGTTTTATTCAACTTAAAAAGTCTTTATATCCTTCTTGATGTATTTTTAGCATGTGAAGGTGTGTTGTGCCCTCTGTGCAGCTGTGTAATATTACTGTCTCCTTTCTGTGAACCCCTTAGGTCAAAAATGGAAGAAAACATGTTGTGTTCCCTCATTTGTACTCTTTGCATTGACGCTAGGGTGCTTGATCACTGGTGTGGCACTGTTGTCTATTTTTAAGGTAGGTGTTTTTAGTTCTCTGAAAAAAATACTGTGTAGGTGTATTTTGTTTATGCTGGTCTGAAATAGCCTTACAAGAAGAGAGCCTACCCAGTATGTGTCAGAGTTTCAGTCCTACTTTTTATCTTTTGGTTCCTCAGGTGGACCCTACGAATCTGACAGTAAATGCAGTGCTGATTGCGATGGCTAGCATGGTTGGCCTGGCCCTGCTGCTCAACTGTAAGACCTGGTGGCAGGTGGCTGACTCTGTCCTCAACTCCCAGAGGAACCGCCTGCACAGTGCTGCCAACAACTTGCATAGACTCAAGAGTGAAGGGTTTATGAAGGTAATTTAGTAATTGTACATAATCAAGAGAAAATGGAAATCCTCTGACATCCTGTTGCCATGACAGTGGGGCATTCAGTTTGCTTATGAAATTATGAAGTTGTGCTTTCTAATTCAATTGATTTCCTTTAGTTCATAGAAAATGAATTGGCTTTGATTTGTTTTGGGGTTTTTTATGTCTCACAGGTTCTGAAACATGAAGTGGAGCTGATGTCAAAAATGGCCAAAACTATCGATGGCTTTACCCAGAACCAGACACGCATGGCGGTTATCATTGATGGGCTAGATGCTTGCGAGCAGGACAAAGTGCTGCAGATGCTGGACACGGTGCGTGTTTTCATGTGCGTCAGTACAGGCAGATTAACAATTAGAGCAGCTTCCTCTTGACTGAAAACAAGATAATGGAATAATTAGATTTTTTTGACATCTGCCGCTCAAGAAAATTTATTACTATGAGCCAGAGTGTTTTAGAGCATCTGCCATGTGGTTTAAACACAAAGTGGGTCTTTCACCTGTGCACACAGAGACCACACATCTCTGTTGCACTGCAGCCACCTTGGTGTTCCCAGCTGCCTCAGCTTGCCTCCAAGTTTAGATTCTTTTTCCCAGCTGCTCTAATATAATTTCCTTTAGCCAAATGTTATTATTTGGTGAAGTAATCCCAGGGAAGACGGCAGCCTCCTGTGTGCTAATGCAATCTTCTCATCTCTGCAAGCATGTCCCAGTCACTCCAAAACCTTCTTCTTTTGAGAGAGACTCAAACAACACATTTGTCAATTAACTAAATGTAATTTTTTTTCTCTCAGTCTGTGTACTTTTGCTAACAGATCATGTGCATTAAAGATGCAGACATCATGTGAAAACATTTTCACTTGATTCTGCTGACAGCTGCTTTTGGACAGGAGGTTCATCGTCCTGCAGGCGAGCCTTAGGGTTGTTGGCTACGGGTTAACAAACCAGCACTGCATCTAGCACAAATTGATGTCCTGTGACACTTGGACAATGTCTCTTAGTTAGTCGAGTGGAATTCCCCAGCACCATGTGCTGTGGACAGTCAGCTCTCACAGGAGTCATTATGTTTAAGTACTATAGCTGACTGACTACCTCGAGGTGTCGTGTCATGGAGTGATTAGATTGTAAACATATATTTAATGCAACTGAAAGATACTGAAAAACTTTCTTATGGTGTTTCTTTTTCTTTCCAGGTAAGGGTCCTCTTTTCTAAAGGCCCTTTTATCTCCATTTTTGCCAGTGACCCCCATATTATCATCAAAGCTATCAACCAAAACCTCAACAGTGTGCTAAGAGACTCAAACATCAATGGACACGACTACATGAGAAACATTGTCCACTTGCCCGTGTTCCTCAACAGCAGAGGATTTAACACAGCTAAAAAGATGAGCATGGCAGCACCCACCAACGGGGAGCCACTGTCTGGTGAAGGTACACGACAAAGGCTACACGTCTTCCTTTTAAAGTGCTTTTATTTTTTTCTTTACTGTCGTCTTTTAGTGTGTTATATAGCTTTTTTGTGTGTGAAAAAGTCTGCAAAGTTACACCCAAAGTTTACTACAAAGGGAGTTAATCTCTCCCACAATAGAGTGCTGCTACTGAACAGTTTAAAGCACCTCATTTGTAGGTCAAGTGTTACTTCCCCCACATCTATGTCACAATAAAACAAACATTTCCACTCAGCAGCTAGTTTGACACACCATTTTTACTTACTTGTTGAAGCCATGCTAACTCTAAAATGTCTCACCAAGTGCAAACACACTAAGTCTTCTGTTACTGGTTGCAAGAGCAAAAACAATGTGCACTTCCCCCATGTGAGGAACCCAATAACCAATTGATTACTTTTGGCAGTGCCCCCATAACAATGTTAGCACATTGTGGGGCTAATTTCATAAGCCAGAGCAATAGTATATTGGAATTGTCACACTGAGGCATCAAAATTTGTAAGCTTTTGTAGATGTGAATGCTTTTTTGTTAGCAATTCCCTCATAGTACATTTGTAGAAAAATATACCGACGGGCACTGTTCTTGATCCTGTTATTTTAAAGAAAGCAATCTAGATTCGCAAATGTCTTTAACGGGTTGTTCCTTTGCTCATGATCATCTCTGCACCAAGGTTATGCTTTATGTAAGGTAGCAACTTCTGCAAGACTTTTTTTGTTCTGGATCATATTCTTGGCTACACCCCAGGATTTTGTTAGCCATTAGCTGGTGGTGGTCAGAGGGCCCGGTGGCGCCAGTGTCCGGCAGCCTCGCCTCTGTCAGTGCGCCCCAGGGTGGCTGTGGCTACAATGTAGCTGCCATCACCAGTGTGTGAATGTGTGTGTGAATGGGTGGATGACTGGATATGTAAAGCGCTTTGGGGTCCTTAGGGACTAGTAAAGCGCTATACAAATGCAGGGCATTTACCATTTAGCTCTAAGAAGGCAGCTCCTCCTCATAGAACTACGCTAATTAGCCAACGCTCCAGGCAAGCTGACCCATCTAGAGTAGATTGGAATTTTTGTAAGTGGGGTCTTAAAGAGGCAGCAGCTGAAATGATGCGTTTCAGTGAGATAATAAAAAGTGGTCCTGTATAGTAAAAGGAAAACCATGACCCACCCTTCTAGTTGACCCACAAATTAAAGTTATAAACTTGTAACTGGGCATAATATGGTCACTTTAATATATACAAGTAGGTTTACACAGAGCTTTGAGGCATTTTATAAACTCATAGTTTCATAAACTGTTTTACATCTAATACTTGGTGATGCCTGATCGTCTCTGTTGACACTTTGACTCTTCCTCTTCATCCCTTTCTCTAGGATGGCATGAAGACACGGACAAGAAGATGTCTCAAAGCAGCCTGGCTCAAGACCAGGCCAAACTTGGCAGCAAGAACGCCTTAAACCGCAGGGTAACAGCTATTCAAGTCAAGTTTGTAAAAAAAAAAGTATTACATGTAATATTTTGGTGGGATTTACAAACACACATCAGTGGTTGATTTCCTAACTTTAGGTTTGTAAGTTAAGAAGACGAGGAAGAGCCGTGGTAGTTCAAAACAGATTGTTAATAAAAAGAAAAATAAAATAAAAAAAACTCCAAAGTGTCATTAGTCCAAATTCTACTTTAAGCAGGGAGTGTTCACTGCTTGCACCAGCCTGTAATACCCAAATCAAAAAGGCTGCAATAGCACATTGAAGAAGCTTTGGACACAATATGAAAGCAGGCAGGTTTTTTTTTTTTTGTTTCAATAATTTCCCCAAAACCCACGCTGTTTAGGAAAGTACTTAATATTCACGTTTGATTTCTACATATTAATCAAACAAAATGAAAAAGCTGCCAGTTCACTGCTCTTTGACCAGAAAACATTGGCTTCGTGTGAGATATTCTGGCTGAGAAACCTTCACTGCTATCTCTCTTCAGCCTCCTCCCTGAAGGAGGGAGGAGGAGGGGTTCAGTACAGGCGTGGTGTTGGCAGGCGGTGCAGAGGCCAGAGGACAGAAGGAGACACACAGAGACAAAAAGAGAGAGGTGCTCGGTGTGCGGCCAAGGTTCCTGGTGTAATTGATGTAATGGCTGTTTATCCTTCCTGCTGCGTTGCCACAGCCTAATGACAAGGCCTAGCAGCAGTGGGTCCCTGTGACAAAACACTGGCACCAGGTCTGCTGGCAGGAGGCTAAGTGACTCTGCTGCTGTCGCTGATGCCTTCCACCCTCCTATGAGACCTTCCCCCCAATCCCCCCTTTCCTTCCCACTTTCCTTTCTTGTTTGTTTGTTTGTTTGACATTTGGTTGTACCTTGGGTTTACCCAGCATCCTCCATTATTGATGTTGGCCCCTTTAATACAGGGCAGCATTCTCTTTTTATATGCCGCTAGCTAGCACTTGGCAGGAGGGCCCTATTTCTAGAAGTGGAGATTAAAATGAGGGGGCAGGAGGGCAAATTGACTATGAGCTCTCTCCACACTGAAATTCTGTGACTTCTTGAATTAAGTGTGATGCTGTAAATATCTCTGTAGTATTTTGACATTTATTGGATTGAAACTAATTGCTGCTTAGTATTTCTTAGCACTTCAAGGAATCATCAAAATAAACCATTGACGCTGTGAAGCTACAGCAAAAGTTAATAAATACCAAAAAGCTAGCCCCAAAGAGGTGTCTCTATGATAGACCTTTTTGGTTCAGACTGAGCGGTGGCCATATGTTTCATCTCTCTGAGAAAGAGGTCATGAGACTGGTGTTACAACTTCAAAGTCAACCAAAAGGCTTGTCTTGGCTCATGACCATTGCAGCTGTCTGAAATCATCACAGATGTTCTCCGGTAGATCTGTGTCAATAGCTTGCCTGTGTGTCATGACTTTTCAGTATTGGACGGCGGCTCTTTGATTTCTTCTGTGCAGTCACAGAGATTTAGTGCTGTGTATGTCATGGCCATTAAGAGATTGGTTATATGGAAGGAAAGAAACCCATGTACATCTCTTTTACAGGGCTTATCGGTATAAACCTTAACTGGATTATGTTGAGAGTAAGGTAGTGTTTGCTGTTAAAAATTATTGTGGTGCTGCTGATACTTTAAAATAAAATCTCTCTCTCAAATATGGGGTATGTGGAATAATATAGAAATGATCCCATCTAGATGTAGTCGTAGTCTAATGAAGCAAAGGTTCTTAAAATGGTCACATAGATCACATGGTGACCATGAAACCTCTCCTCTGGTCTCATGATGCACATAGCGGGACAGTAAGGGTGCGTTCTCACAAACATCAGTCAGGGTCCACAGTAACTGCTGCTGTTTCAGTTTAGAAGTCTAACATTAAACAGGAAAAATTTATGGCTCTCTATGGTTCCTTTGCTGTATTTCTTTTCCATGTGTGGCTAGAATACACTTCCTGTTTTCCTGGTCCCTGTATTATATACTGTGAACCAGTGGTGTCAAATATAAGGCACGTGGGCCAAAGTCGGTCCGGCAAAGACTCCAATCTGGCTCATTAAACAGCTTTAGAAAATGTGAATGTGGGCACAGATTTTAAACTTTTAACTGTATTTATGAAGACTTTTTATAAATATAGAAGAACCTTAGAAGAACCTTTCCTGTAATTTTATGCATTTATTATGTAGTTTCACCGGTTCTGTCCACTTAAGATCAAAGTGTGGCCCACGATATAAAATGAGTTGGACGTCCCTGGTGTAAAGTGTTTTTTGGCGATCCATTATGTAACTTATTGTGAAGTAAAATGCAGCATGTACCATCTCCAGCCTCATGCTAATGAGTGTTTGTCTGCTAAGGACACATACCGACGGCGTCAGATGCAGAGGACCCTCACCAGACAGATGTCCTTCGACCTGACCAAGCTGCTGGTGACCGAGGACTGGTTCTGTGACATCAGCCCACAGACCATGAGGAGGCTGCTCAACATTGTTTCTATTACAGGTGAGGAATTAACCATGATCTGCTTGAGAACTGTACATATTATTACAGTAATAAAGCCATTTTTTTTTTTTACATCAACATCCGCGCTTCAAGAGTTCTGTTTTAATGAAGAGTACATTTTGCTTGTAAGCTTAAACAGTAATTTTAATTTAACCACAAAGGCTTGGCAGACTTAGGATTTAGAGGTTATAAATATATTATAATAAATTACACAAGGGGTACAGTAATAGAACAGAGTAGAAGATTAAAAACAGTTGGCACTACCACTGACAGTTTGTTTTTAAGCAAGTTGGCACAACAAGCCCCTATAGCTGATTAGTGCTTGTGAGCAAAACCATTATATGTTATACAAGTCAATGATGCAGCCAAAAGAAAATGTTTGTTATTAAGCAGATTGGAAGTGACTTCTGTGGCCCCTAATCCTCTGATTCGTTGTTGGCAGGTCGTCTGTTACGCGCCAATCACATCATCTTCAACTGGGATCGACTGGCGTCATGGATAAACCTGACAGAAGAGTGGCCTTACAGGACATCATGGATCATCCTGTACTTGGAAGAGGCTGATGGGATGTCTGATCAGGTTACTCTCAAGACCATCTATGAGAGGTATACACCCACAGAAACATCATCTTTTGATTAGTTACTGATCTGATTTATTGACTTTCTTGCCTTTCTTTCCCGGGTTGTTTTATTGCCTTTTCTTCATTCTCTTTCTAACTTGAGGGCAGCACTAGCAGACTGATCATCAACTAAATTATCTAAATGAGAATTAGGTGATGGATGTATTTGGATGAGTAAAATTCCACATCTTCAAGCCGGAATAAAGATCCTGAGATGTCAGCTAAGAATTTGCTTTTATTGCTCTGTGTTTAAGTAACCATAACCAGCAGGTGGCAGTAGAGGATTTTGTTTTCCATGCAGGCTAGATAATCTGTACACATGTAGTGCCAAAGGCTGTGCCACACTAATTGGCAACTGTCAGACAGATTTTGTAATTGACCATAATGTTCAAGGCGAATGATGACTGAGTTATTGCCCGGATTCGAGATTCACAAAGGGACACTAATTCTTTAAAGTCTACAAGAGGAGCAGTAAAGTCTTGTCCCTGTGTGTGTATACTGTGAGGTCATGAATGCTTTTAGGCGTGCTCACCGCAGACGAGAGGAGGAGACCGATAGAGGCTGAGTCGCTGGGTTTGGGCGCTGTTGTGCATCAATCGCTGGCCTTTAAAGGTTGCACTCTGTCACAATACACTAGCGCCCACGACTCCTGCGGCAGGGAAGTGTCACAGACGGTTATTGTCAGCTATTCAGCCAGCTAGATTCAGCCGACAACTCTCCATCCCCCATCTCCAAACACAAACCACTACCTCATTAGACTGGATTTTTGCTCTATGGTTTTTTAAAGGACAAAAGTTATTACCTTTTCTTTTTCCATATGGCACTACAGAATGCAGATTTTTAAATGTCTCGTTTCTCTCTGCATTTTATGGGAAAAAATATCACTGCATTTCCTCCTGTGCATGTTTACTCTGCTCGCATTCACTGGAGACCCTAAAAGAAACGTTCTTACTTTTGCTGTAATTATTGTGGAAAATAAGAGAGCCATAAAAACTGATGTTTCTACTTCTAACAAAAGGCCTGGATTCAAGTCTCCTTACCGCAGCATGGGGTTGTACTTAGACTACTCATTAGACCTAATATAGCCATCATCTTGCTTTTGACCAACGGCCCTGTCTTTCTTTATCTTCCTCCTCGCTGAGTGTCTTTCCAAATGGCTGCTCTGTTCCGCAGTGGCCGTCGAAGAAGCTGGCTTAATGATGATGACAGGAAGCCTCGAACAGGCTAAACACAACGCCTTGCCTAGAGGCCTTATCTCCTACACCAATCTTCCGCTGATAAGACTCAGGCCTCTGTCTGTCTGTCTTTTTCTGTCTCTGCTCTTTTCTTCCTCTTTCATATGATCTGAGGCTCTTTAGGCCCTTTTTTTTTGTTCTGGATGAGTTATTCTGTTTCATTCCCTTTAACGACGGATGGGCACTTGACTGACCTCTAAGAACCTCGGGGTCTCGAGGATTGCCTGCCTGTTTGAGAAGTGGATAGCTTCTTTTATTTGACTTCCTTTTCAGAGCGTTAAAAAATACACACATCCACCCACGTCTCGTTTCACAGCTTCACTTTGACCAGTTTGATAATTTCCTTTTTTTATACTTAGCATCCTTTTGCTCATGTGGTTCAGATCTCATCTATTCTTTGTTGCGTTTTATTTTGCAAACATGTGTGCGAGTTGTCATGCACAGCCTTTTTTACACAGCAAAACTGCACATCCCCTGAGCGTTACTAAGTGAATATATTAGTGGTGAAGTGAACGTGGGGGGTGAGTCAGCCCCTTATAGGTCAACTGTCGCCCTGCATCTCAGTCACAAGGCAGCAGCTCTTCCTCTTCTCTGCCCTCTCTTTGTAAAAGTGTCTACAGCTAAGTATACCACAGCATCAAAAATAAACTTATTGTTAACCATAAGACTGAAAACAGTGCAGCTGTGGTTGCAATTAAATATTTTTTTCTGTTTCCATCTTCATAAGTACAAACGTGCTTTAAATGGGGCTAACCACCATTAGTTGGTCTCAGTTCAGATTGCATGCCCCATACATTAAAACTAAATTAACTCTCACACTGTAAATTATTATGGAATACACACAGGCCTTTCAGTGAAGGGGGTGAGCTGAACTCTTAAGAAATAATAAACAGAAATGCTTACCCACCTTCTCTCCTATCTCACACAAACAGACAGGATTTCGAAACAGCTAAATGTTTTTCACTAACTTGCTTTGCATTGACAAGCATCAACGAAGGGCTGTGAACTGTCATTTTAGGACGTGGCGTGCAGAGAAAAGCTCACTTCTGATTCCCGTTGCAGGAACAGGCTAGTACAGCCGTCTTAATCTGATGGAGAATGCGTAATCGGTTAATAACTTCAGCGATTTCTATCGTTAATGCTAAGACTGAGGGCCGCCCAGGTTCATGCACGGTAGCTGAGGGAAAGAGGTGTGTGAGGAACAAAGACGGCACTGTCTGAAGGAGATACTGGTCCAAAGCAGTCAAGCTTTTACTCGAAGCATAGGTAAAATGTTTGTGTCACTACTTTCACAGGGGAAATTGCAAAAAACACTTGGACAAGTGAGGCAGCATTGTGGTGTGTCCAGTACACTGACAGAACCTGAGAAGAAAACAAAAAATCAGATGCTTTAGACCAGCATCTGCAAGTCTTCAATTTGTAGTTGTCAAATTAACAAACCCAAATCTTTCTTTTGAGTTTTTTCTTTCCATTAGTAAATTGGATCTGGAGCCTGCAGCATTATGACTATCATTTTCGGTTACATCATTACTTCCTCTTCGTTATTGTCTCTTCGCAGGAGTTGTTTCTTAGCTGCCATTAGAAACCTGATGATTATAGCTACCCTGGCCCTCTCCTGCTTTGCGGTTATTGCTGTATATTTATTTCCTTGAGCTTTTTCAGCATCATTATATTACATTTTGCCATCTAATGGAAATTCATTTGTAGAGTGAATTTAAATGTCTGAACAAGTAGTTTTAGGATGTTGAATACACATCTGTTATTATTGTTGTGAACGGTTGGTACTAGTCTCCATGGGGGTTTGTATTTGTGAATAAAAAGCAAAAAAAAAAATTAAAATAAGTGATCAGAATATATTTTCTAAACTTAACTACAGTTGTGTCCTTTTTTCTGTTCTTTGTCATTAGTTGAAGATTAAAAGCAGTGGATAGGCATTAAGGACATGGTGTTCAGCAATTAATTATGCAGAATTAGTCAATAATCAGCAAAAAAATGAAATGTCTAAATGACGAAATAAAAAGCAAACCAGCAAAGTTAGCAAATAATTTGCTTTATAGTGTAGCAGTATGGCTGACAGAAGGTAGGTATTAGCAAAGAGAAAAACCCAAAGAACAACGAGAAAGGACAAGCAATGAAGACACGAGGAGTGTAAATAGTGAGTGGATGAGTCAGTTGGCAAAAATATGTGATAAGTTGCTATTTTTTAGTGGAAAAAATTTAATATTGCTTCCAGGCATTCAAGTAGCTAGAACCAGAACCAAAGGAGTTCCTGCTTTCTTTGGTTTCTGAAACACTTAATATCTTTGGGTTTGGATGTGATTTAAATATGCTAACTGCAGGATCTTCAGGGACTTTCAAATGACTTGTACTTGTTTTTTGATCATTTGTTTCACAGTGAAGTAATTTTGGATGTAGGGTTAACATACTTGGATCTAATCGTGTGTGAGGGCGGGTTCAGTCGGGTCCTAAGAGAGTTTATTCCTGGACGCCCAGATCCAGTTTTCAGCTCTAGAAAAAGAAAAAAAAAGTGTCACTGGTCCACTGAGCAGGTTCCTGCGCTGCTCTGACATCTGGTACCCTGTGTGTGCCAGGATGCCCCTGCTGCACTCAGGAGTGTGTTTCTGGCGTTGCACCTGAATCTTCTGTTCATTACACACCCACTCATATATATACACACAAACTATTGCATGCCATGGACTTATAGACACTCTCTCACACACACACTCAGGAGTTGTCATCCGTGCATGTTTCAACTGAAACTCATTTGCCACTACAAGTTTTTGCAATTTACACAGGTGCACACATGAAATCACATACAAATCTTATGCATGCAGTTGATAGAAAACTCACAAAAATTCACACACACTAGCTAGCTCTCACACCAGTGCAAGAACATATGTCACCCCCAACTCCTCTGAGGATCGGTGTAATTAATCAGACCCTGAGATGCAGGCTGTGTTCAACAAACATGCGTACTCACACACATTCACACAGTGCAGGAAGCAGAACACAGCAGAGAAATTGTTGTCAGGTGAATTTGTATTTAGAAACACAGTGAAACACAGTTTTGTAGTATTGTGGGCAAAAAAAAATTCCCACTTTCTGTGCCCTCTGTGCTTTTAATCACCAGGTCACAGCTTGTGAATAACGAACCGTTTCTCTCATCCTTTCATCTTCTTTTCACCTCCGATTTGTTGGCTTGACCCAGCGTTCATACGCTAAACAATCACCCTTTCAGTGATGTACAGCCAGCCACTCGATGGACACTTAAAAACTTTTTTTTTTCCACTAATCACAGTCTGAATGAATATGCAGCCCACCAATTCACTCTTAATTAGGGAGACTCTTATCCCAAGTACTGAAACATTAAGATGACACTCTCTTCATTCGGGATTACTTTAATTGGCACAATTATTGTAATTTGGTTGCAATTATGTGCAGGGATAAAAGCGCCATTCCAAAGCTCACGCTGGTGATTCCCTTTATGCGGAGTTCTTTTAATAAGCTCTTAAAAATCTGGACTCAAAAAATGGCGAGACCCTGTTCTTTTGTTATAATGAACACTTCTGAACTTTTCCTGCCCTCAAATGAAGAAAAAAAAGTCTTTATTCTTCACCATAAAGCCCATTCATATGGAGTTCTGTCGCATTTGCAACACATTCTATAATCTAGCTGCACGACAAATGCACAAAATGGTTTTCTTCCCTCTCTCTGTCCTCTGAGAGAGCCCATTGTCCCTGTACCCAGGAGG